TTGGGAAAAAGGAAAAGCCACTGAGCAGAATGAAGATGCTAAGCTTGGTATACCACAGCATGAATGTGTGATCCTAACAGAGAAAACGCTTTGGAATTCCACTTGTTCAATTACTAAGAATGAGATACTTTCCAAAGACCATAGCACAGCTTTGGCAGCAGCTGATTACTCCTGTCTGATGTAGTGACCATTTCACACTGTGTAAATAAACAGTGAATAAACAAGATAAAAAGGACATGATATAGCTATTTAGATGGCCAAAAGCCTCCCACAAAACACTGCTAGTGAGGAAATACATAGTACCAGGTTGAGAGGTAGAGTACTTTGATGCTGGCAAGGCAGAGCATGGAGGGAGGAGCAAACAGACAATGTGAACCAGGGTCACACTGTCTACTGTTTTTTATTACATAGAGCTGGCTTCAGAGAGAACATGGGCACAGCATGTGGTATGCTGGGGAAGGAATCAAAGTGTGGTGCAGAGGAATATAGCTAATGTTAATATTTCGCCTATATGCAATAGCCCAGAGTCCTAGTATTCGACACTAAAGACATGTGCCTCTACACTGATGTGGACTAGACATATCAGACCAAGTTCTACGTTTTCTGCAGATCAAGGTCAGACTGGAGTCTTAACTATTCATAAAAACTGTGTAGTAATCCCATCCTTTTCATAAGATACTGTAAAGCAGCAGCCTTCTCTTTTCCAGTGTACCTGCTGGACCACTGCTCCAGACCTAGAAGTGTTTTACCTCCCAAGTCTTGCTGCCTGCATTTACATACACAACTTGGTAGGACATTGGAAGAGATACTCCCACAACACTGTAGGCACGTTCTCTGTGCTGCAGCAACTTGAAGCACTTAATTCTTTATGATCAATTTTAGGAGGACTCCAGTATCAACAAGTACTGAGAGACAACAAATGCTGACACAGTTCAGGACACAGCTTTCCTAGAAACTAGTCATCCTTATATAGTCTACGGCAAGTGCCTCAGGACAGGCAAGTTAGACTGGATTTAAAGTACGACTAAATGCACCTCAGGTATGTTTTGACTGGTGAGTAGCTAAGGATAAGACAAATATAAACTGATGTGGCAGTGAAGGAATACTTGCAAATGATCAGTTTTGGAAAACAAATTGCCATAGGACATTCAAGGCCAGACTGGATGGGGCTTTCAGCAACCTGGTCTACTGGAAGCTGTCACTGTTCATGGCAAGGGGTTTGTAAGCAGATGATCGTTAAGGTCCCTCCCAACCCAACCCATTCTATGATTATATTCCCTAACTAAGATTACTTACTGATCCCACTCTTCCCAGAAAGGTAAGCCTTGCATTTACTTTTTTTTCATATAGCAGTTTCCCAAGGGGAAGGAACCTTGCATTCAGCTACCAGAGAGAAGAATTCATTATCTGCTCAGAGTACTTACTGCTTATTTTTGTTGACAGACTGATTTTTTTGTTCTTTTCACAGAAAGTTAAATTCCTTAGAATTCAATTTCCCCTTGTATGCAGAGGTATGGTGCTTGTCTGTCAAATTCTTTCAAACATTTTTCCATTAGTTATTTTCACTACTGAAGTTACTTACTGTGGGGCTATAATCCCCCAATGCAATTACAGTACTTAGGGACCAATCTGCACTCTCAATTTCAGTTTATGAGCATGTTTTACATTTATGTTCTACTGACCATAAACTGTGTCTACACTTACACCTAGAGGTATCAACAGAAGCTTTTTTCACATATTTGATCAGATAATGGTAAATACGTTTCAACTGTGTGTATATACTTACCCACAGTAGAACAGCACAACACAAACATAAGCTAAGACTCCCTGTACTTTTATTGAGCTTGTTACGACTCTGATGAGCTGTTTTAAAGACAAAAGTTAAACAGTTAAAACACAGCACACTTATTACTACAATATTTTAACAGACCTTTCTTATTTGGTAAATTCAAGACAGAAGTAGAATTATTTACATTAACAGAAATTTATTTTAATGTTCCCCCTGGTAGTGCTAACTATTCAAGATTTTGGTTTGATTAAGTATTTATTACATGAGCACTTACTTGCAACTTCGCCAAAGCTACAGTCTGGTAATGTTTCCTTCACCACTGATGCTTAAGTAAAACACTGAGCAAAAAAAAAACCTGTCCCAGAAGTCAAGGGCTGGAAGCTGAGTTAACAATTTTTGTGGAAAATGTCAAGAGATGCTGATGCAGTAAAACAGAATCAGTGTTTTGCACTACACTAACATTTTGAACACAAAATTGCTTTGTGGGCTAGGTATATGAATCCGAAGGTTCAGTAACAAATGATCCTGAAACCTCAGTTTACTTCAGTGTTTCACGGTTAGGGTTCCAAGTTAGCAAAGCACTTCAGTTTGTTTTAAAGCTATTAGTCTCAGGGATATCATATCAGCACACAATTAAATTGAAAAAAGCATTTCAATCCAATTCTCAGTGGATGTACTTTGCTTAGTTATAAAAGAAATCATGATTATGATCACAGCTGGTTTATTTTTTTGGTGGGTTTTTTTTTGGTGTGGCATTTTTTTAATCCTATATAAAAACTAGGCAAAGTCTGCCAATGGTATTTTTCCCTATCTCTATGGAAGAAAATTACATTTAAGTTAATTCATATTGATACTCTTCCAGGAAAATGACGAATTACCATCCTGGCTGGCAAAGCAAGGGCACAGCCCCAGTGTGAGGGTAACTACTGCTTGTCTGCATGTGTGTATGGGGAAAGTCAGACCAGCTATCTACAGAAAACATTCTGCAATAGTTAATTCAGAACAGACAGCATGTGGACACAATTCCAATAATGAAGTGATTCATTTTATAGCCGCATGTCCACATAACAGGGCCAGCTATTTCAGAATCATATATTCTGCAACAGCTCAGAAGCTCAGTGCCCCGTATTGTCATGGTTTAACCAGGCAGGCAGCTAAACACCAGACAGCTCACTCATATAAAAGAAAACTTAGTCACTAAACATACCATTACAGGGAAAACCACAAGGACTCCCATGAAAAACCTAAAAAAAACTAGTACACTGCTGCTAACCTTCTGGCAACCAGCTGCTTTGACTCTTCCAAATGAATGAACAGGATAATTGCCAAAAAGAATAAATGTTTAATAAGCACAGATGTAGTTTAGCTCCACTGCTACAATTCAAGTGCTTATAAATTCTATAAAATTAAAATATATTTGATTTTCTATGAAGGGATGATGAACAGTAACATGTTCATGAAGTCATAATTAACATGTGATATAGGTTATACTGAATGCTAACTCAACCTTACAGCGCCATTTCCGTGACTTAACACTATCATTTCGTCCTCAAAACATGAAAATGAGCCAGCTATCTCACAGGCGTATATTCTCAAAGTGAGATCTTATTGGCAGAAAACTTACAGGAAAGACAGAACTTACTAAAACAGCCAGTGGAAGAGGAATAAAACCCATCCTTCTGGAAACCGAATCACTATAATCTGTGTATGCCTAGGAAAAAAGAGGAAGAATGAACTACTTATGCAAAAGAATGTACTTACTTTAGCTTGGCACACCCTCTAGATAAGAATCAATCTCTGCTAACAAACACTGTGCTGGTATAAAGTGTACCTATTCACATTCTGAAATCCAAATGCAGTTATCTTTACTCTCAGACAAAAATGTAATACTACCATGACCAGCAAGATTAGCTTCAGTGCTCTAAACCAAGAGCAACTGGAGTATAATGCAAATCTCTAAATCGAGAGCAATTAGGACACTGAATCCAAACGCACCATGATATTTCATCTGCACATTATTACTAGCTTAGAGACCTTTTTGCATTAATTTGACTTTGATCCTCAAATACTGTACAGAAAAACCCATAACAGGGATAAAAGAACAATTATCCATCATGCTAGTGATTTTAAATCATTCTGTGAGCATTTATAATTAGCCTCGGGATAATTGTGTTAAAGTAATTTTGGAAATATGTTTACATTTGAACTCCCAAAACACAACTACTTTGCATGACAGCTTTCATGTAGTATTGAAGTCATGCCAAAGTTAGTGGCTATATGATGCTAACTCATTTTCCGCAGAAGATACCTAGGAAAAGGAGTGGAGTTTTGAGAACTAACAAACCATTTTAAAAAATGTACAAATTATTAATTAATTATATGTAACTGAAGGTGTCTAACTTCTTTATGAGGTATAACTACTTCATTCCTAGCAATAGCTATTAAACATTCCCAAGTACATAAATTATTATAACAAAGTTCATTTAATAGGTAGAGCACTCATCCACAGCACTCACTAATAGTCAAGAGACTCATCAGGAAAGGTATACTGTAAATAGTCTTCCAAAAAACAGTACTAATGAAAAACACAAGCAGTTCGTGTGCTCTATAAATAGTCATGCCAGAACAGTAACATGAATAGTAAAACCATCCTTATATATCTGTCCACAAAATGAAGAAGTAATGTAAGTTCCTAATGAATACTGTACTTTGATCCAAACCACTCAAAAAAAAGCAAAAAGAATAGTAACTGAAAATTATCTCAATGACATCTTGTTAAGGTGAATTACTTCCCATATATCTCAAAAATGTCAAAGTTAGTACAACCATTCCCTGACTATAATTGTATTTGGAAGAGACTTCTCAATATATTAAATAAAGCCTGAAGTGACCTGAACAACTGGATAAAAAAAAATAGTAAGAATATATCCTGTTATCTCTGATTAAAAAGAAGGGTAGAATTTCAGTGCTGTAGGAGTGTAACAGTTGTTTATGTATTTAAGTATCTGTTCCAATATCCAGTATCATATTCTATGATCCCCACTGTAACAATTAAGAGTTATTTTGAGGCTTACATTTTTCTGTCGACTGCTAACAAGGTCAAATGCAAGGCTGGCTCTGTATTCACTGTAGACCTGGAAAAAATCCAGCATATTGGATGTGTGATTCATTTGTTATCACATTATAGAAGCAACAGAGATATTAATAAAATATTTCTGTAAAAACATTATAGACATCTGTGCCAGGCTGAAGTAGCCCAAGCCAGCTTTTCTTAGGTCTAACTACACCCTTCAACAGATGAGCCTATATTTCCATGATAAAGTAACTTGCATATATATACAACAAACAATACTAAGCTATGTTTTAAGAATTGAATGAGATTTTATAAAGCACTTACTAAACTTGAGGATCATCAGAAACATCAAGTAAGTGAAATCATGTACACTTTTCCCCTACAGTTCATAATTGTTTTTAAGCTACATGAAAGGTAGCACTGGGATCAAATTAAACAAATGAGAGCTTATTTATATACTATGCGAGTGATCCTATGTAAAAAGCAAGCTGTAGTAGAAGACAAATGTAGCTTATCTTCTCTTTAAAACAGTTCTGCACATTAAGACATAAAGCATCTATTTTAAGGATAAGTGGTAGGGCAGCTGCACTGCAGGTGTTCAAAACTTCTGAAAAGGTCAGAGCTAGGAATCATAACTCTTTAGAACTTCTTACAAAAAATACAAGGTTTGTTAAATAAACCTTGCAAAATTGTCACTCACTAGCCCCATCCTCCAGCTGTTTCTGCACACTGAAGCATGCTATACTCTTGGCTAGCATGACTTCATTATTGCTCTTTTCCACACTCTATATGAAAGTAGGGCATGCATAAATGCCTCTGGCATAAGGGAGCTTATTAAGTACATCCATTAAACTTGTTTCTACACTGCACATTGTAGTTACTTTGGAGATGCTGGAAAAGATAGCACTTACAAGTTCTGATCTCATTTCCTCAAAAGACGTTTTAAAAGTGAAAAAACACTAGCTCATCACTTCACGAATTTATCAAGTTCACTGGAACTCACACAACACGCAAGACAAACGGCCAATGTATCACGCCACAACACATAAAAAGTAACCTCATCTACTACTTTAAAAGCAGGGCTGCATAATACATACAGCCGAAGAATTTTCAGGAGTGGGAAACTAACATAACCTACTTCATATTATTGCTCCAGGGACAGTGGAAAAATATATCTCTGATTTCAGATTCCACCTTTAACACACATGCAACAAGAGAGGTTCAGCAGCCTCACAAGATATTTTTCCTAAACCCTGAATTTTAACCTACAATCCATTCTGATAGGAACAGGTACAAGCTCTGTCTAGACTTGTAGAACAAGTAACTTTCTGTCAATTTAACTAGTGATCACTTCACAAAATGATTTGCCAGTTATGTGGACTGTAGTTATGTGAACTGTTATACAACACTTTCAGTAATTTATGGATCTGGAGCTGCTAATTTAGAAGCAGAGGTGTTTGTTCCACATTATAAAGATCCTCAGAAGTATATTGTATCAGGAAATTATCAAGCTTTCCCAAAAGATATCCTGTATCTGAAAATAATTTTTAAATTTCTGCACTGGAATAAATTTCAATATTAAAAAAAACCAAAACCAAACATTAGCAAAATAAACTACAACTTCGAGTAGCACAAAAAAAGATACCTACATCAGCTGTGATGTCATTGAACTTTGTTATAAAGGCATGTTTCACAATATCCACTGCAATTTCTGAAGCAACCACCATGCAAACATCCGGGAATAACACCCAAAGATGATCTGAAATTTGGGAAGAAACAAGTTAGGCTATTTAATGTGATGCCAGTATACAAAACAAAAATTATGAAAATTCTGCTCAACAGTCAAAAGCTCTCAAGAATCTGAAGAGTCTATAACTTTACATCACCACTCAGCATACAGTGTGCAAGTTCTCACTCCACTGCTGTTCTAGAGACTTATCAGTACGATACAATCACACCACAGTTAGGATCAGGTTTTAAAGCCTTTACTTTGTGAAGTTTAATCTCTGCTAGGAAGACAACCTTGCATGTAATAGACAGTAGATGTTTAGTATGTACAAAGCAGAGCACCTGCAGTTCTGGATGCTTAAGGTAAAATTTAGGTAGACTAGTAACATTTAAGCAAAATACACCACAGAGAACAGGTCTTAAAATTGTTAACCAAATTTTTAATAAAATAACTAAATTTTACTCAATGTGTACTCAATACAAAATCATAAGTATAATCAATAGTAAATTATGTATGGAAATTTTAAAATAATTTATCAAAATTTCAGTCTCACTACCCTCACAAAATAAAATTCTCTAGGGGACCCTTCATCCTCAGTGTACACCATGGAAACGGAAGGGCTGGGGAGAAATCATTCAAGAAGCTACTTGAAACACAACTACCAAGTTTGTAGCACAACAGTATACACTTCTGAACAGAAAGGCTCAAGCCACTCTTACAAGAAAGCCAAAAATAGAAAAATGAGAATCTAAGGTATTTGACAAATTAAGTTTCCTTAATTAAATGTCCTGGTTATCCTTATCGTTCAGATTGAGGAAAGAATCAAGAGATATAGTTGTTGATAGCACAGGAATCTGTCATTCTGTATTAATTTTTTTTCCTACTTTACTCACCTGGATTCCATGAGAACTGTTCCATATTTCTTAGACAAACAATTAACAGCAGCACGTAATTGGTGAACCTCTCCTTTATATCTAGTTTAAAAAAAAAAATGAGATAAAAGAAAAAGCTGTCAACTCCAAAGAAACATTTATTTGGATACACAGATATGTAAGCATGCAGAGTTCTACCATTTATTAAGTCTCGGATTAGAAAATCTCTTCTATACATTATTTGGCTGGATTTCAGGGGAGGGTATGATGGGAACCTCACCATGGACAGGATCTCAGCAGTATGCTCTGGCCTAACTGGAGGTCCATCTGATGCTGCATCAACTCACAGTTCCCAGTATCAGAAGGGACTTAAGATGAGACCTGCTATTGCCTCTTCTAATGCATTAATAAAATAGTCATCTTTCTTGACAAAGTTTGTCAAGAAATCGCATTTCTTGTGCGATTCAAGAAGAACCAGCACCTCCTGGTGCAAAAATGGGAACAATACACCTGCCTGTCATTTCGAGTTACTAGCAAGACAAATCTCATTTTCTACAGATCACAGATACGCAAATTGCTACATACTAGGTCCAGTAGTGGGGTGGGGAAAGGTATTTCAAGACAACTACTACACCTTACTTAGAAGGTTCCTACTAGTCTTTCACAGTACCACCTTAAAAAAGGAACAGCAGGATACATTAGCTCAGGTATCAAAACCTCAAGAACTGTAACACAGAAGCAGTCCAACTTGAGGCAGAGTCCTATGATTTGCCCTCCCAGACTAGGTAGGGTCTTTTTTTTCTACTCGGGTACCCTATGTCCAGAAACAACCCATACAGCTTGCTCCAGGAAGGATCACACTTTTTAATGTATTAAAAAGCACACAAACTGCAGCCACTATAGTGTAACAATGTCCCTCATTTTAAAAAACAAGTTTCCAAATACTGGCAAGCCTGAAGGAAAGGAGCAAAAGAAAAAGAGCTACTCCAGGAGAGAGGAACAAAAAGCACAAAGAATTCAAGAATGAGAAAACGCACACATTTAAAAGGCACATTTTGGGATACATAAATTCATCTCTTGGTATGGGCTGGGAAAAGGTCGAAGGAAACACAAGTTTCTGAAACAGAACTCAGAGGTATATGTATGGGAGAAGAAATAAAGAAATCCTTTGGTAAAATAATTTTTAATACCAGAAAAACCAGGACATAGGTAAAGTCCTAACCTGCCAGTAACACTTCAACAAGTCAAGTATGTTCTTCTATGCTTCTGAAATAATCAAATACTACTCAATTACCAGAACACAGTATTTTCTGATAAATCTAGTTATGGGTATCACTTGGCACTGTCACCAATGCAATGGTGACATATGCAGCCTAGCATCCCTTGATCTATATTCTCTATCTTACCCACTGGCAATTCAAAAATAATCACCAACTTTCCAGACTTTTGCCTAAAAACTCAGAAAGTCTTCATCTTGTATTTCCCACGCTGCCATGATCATCATCAGTGATCATCAAGGCGTAAGACGATGCACATGTCCCATCTTTGGTGCTTCAGATCCCACTTGAGCACTTCTATCTGTGCAGGCCTCCCTGGGAAATAAGGGCCTTAATTCAGGCCTAAAAACTAAACCATGTCTCAAACTAATCCTTCAGACATTTATTACCTGCTCCGAATATGTTACCTCACCAGTCAGGATTAAATTGAGATGGGACATCTTTTGCCTTAAATTTCCTCTTACGCTGTAAAACTAAACTTCCATAAAAATTCTCCCCCCACTAATTTCTGAGACTGGATGACAGGTTGACACCTGCATTTCCCCTCTGCTTATTTTTCCTGTTCTTACTGGCCTCCCTTCTAATCTGTTATCTCTGCTGCCACAGCTGTTCAAGGCTGCTCGGAGTGAGAGGAATGAGTGAGGCTGTTATTCTTCATTCTTGTCCCTCTCATCAACTGATTGTCAGAGAGTCAAGCACAGGAGAAAGGGCATTTTACTGCAGCTTCAACAGTAAACCCAAATGATTCAGAAATTCATTTCATTTCTCGCCCTCATGGAAAAGGACAGAAAAGACTCCAGGATATTCAAAACAACCAATGGTAATTAGACCTAAATCCAAATAAAAATGTACTCTTTTTTTCTAGTGGTTCTGTGCAGTAAAGCCCAAAAAAAGATTGTACTTCGCCAAAACAGATTTTAAATACTTTGACTCCACATGCATCAACCCTGCCATTCCAATTCAAAAGGAATTCTATACTCACATTAATAACACATTCTGCCCTTCTCTAAATCCTTCTGGAAAATAAAGACATTCAGTTTAAAGGACCAAGCATATTGCCAACAGAGACCAAAAGTTGAACTGCCAATGTGTCACAGGGTATCATCACTATTAAAACACATGTAAAAGACTACAGAAATGGATGTGATTGGAAATAAAGGATGTTCCTAGGACAACACTGCATCTCATATGGACTAGTATAATCAATTAGCCAGCATCTCACACCATTGATTACTGAACTAATTCAAGCAGGACCTGAACTCTGAAGAGCTTAAGTACCTCGCGGGGTGGCTACCAAGAAGGGCAATGAGATCCCAGGAACAACAATCCAGAAGTGGCACTTCTACTTACCCTAGCAAAAAATAGTCTTTAGAGCACCTATTAATTTCCTTCCAGATTCCCTGTCACATCATGTAGGAATCCATAATCAGGAAGGAAAACATAATTTTGATCATGTTAATCTCAGTCTTTATATGTTTAGATCAAAAGCTGATTATGAATCATAGCATGTAAGTGAAATAAGATTTTCTGGTTTACACGTAAGCAAATGCTAATACACTTTAGTGACAACTACCTCTTCACAAGTGACCAGAGCACAAGAAAGGATCAAAGACTGAACAAAAAATCATCAAGGAGGCGCTGATCTATCTTAAATGTACTCCTGCCCCCAAATCCTTCATCCTTAAAATAAACAGCTGAATTAGAATAATGACATTAAAAAAACTAAAGCCATATGAGAAAGCAGTTTGAATTCCAGAGACCAAAGGTAAAAATATTTTTCTTCAGTATTTCGATCAAAGCCAAAAGAGACTGATAAATCACGAACAAAACATAAAGAACAGAGTAAATAAGTTAAATTTTTTGAGATGAGTGACTTAAAAAAAAAAAATCAAGGAATAATCAGGCCAAACAGCCAACTGAAGCTAAAAGCATAACGCACTGCATCTAATGTACTACTTCATATAATGTAAAATTGTGTTTTGTGAAAAATTTAGTTTAAAGCACAATTTGAAATTAAAATAAGACATTTGAAAGCATAAAGGAAGGCAGCATGCTGGGCTTTCAATAACAATGAAAGAGCTTCTCTTTATAATTTTAATCCTACAAAATTAGCTTACAGATATCTATCTATTTCAAAAAGAGAATATACTATTTAAATGTAAAGAAACATTTCTTCCTGCTACAACAAATAGAAGGTTCTGTCTTCTGCACAGACATCTTTTCCAACAGCCGCAGTGGCTAGACTGCCTGGGTACACATGAATTTCCTAGTAAAAGTCAGGGTGACAACATGAAAGTAGTTTTGCTGCAGCTGACAAATCAAAGCTGCCGGAGCTGATATGGTTGAAATCATAGATTCCATAGCTGCAATATCAAGATCTTTTTTTACCAGCTGCACCTAAAAGATAACTAATGTATACTGCATGTTCTGTTCAATTAGTTCTCATGTGGATGATTCACAGTTCTTTTAGACCTAAAGTTTTAATCAATTAGCTGTTAGAGCAGAATTTTAAATGCCCATACAAAGGTGAGAAGGATCACTGACTCCACTGCACTAAGCTGGAAATACTGGGAAAAATAGCACAGCCATAGATCTGCTTGCTATCCACAAGCCACTGCTAAGGACAATGCCAAGTGAAAAGGATTTCACGGTATTTAGCTTCTGTGTACAATTTGATACCTTTTCACTGAATTTAAACCATATCACTGAGACAACAGTAATATTTTAGGAAGAGCCCCAGAAAAGGTGGGGCAAGGGGTTATCTTTTCACTCAGTCTAAGCTTAATCAGCTACTGCTGGCATTGTCACCCCAAGCGAAGACTCCAGACCTGAGAAATCTGCTAGAAGAAACCAAGAGAAAGGTGGGAAATATATAGCGGGACCTATATTTAGTGTTTTATTTTAGCACTTTAGTTCAGTCCAGCCATGCAGTTGTAGCATACTGTGTTCTAGGCTGCACATGATGCTCCAAAGGCTAACTGGAAGCTCAGGGCAGAGGATACAGCATCAGTGTAGCATGTCAACCCAAGATGCACTACCATTTCAGCTACAGGAAATAAAACATTTAAAGGATAACAAAGTTATCAGAATACATAAATTGAAGCAATACTGATCCATTCTTACTGAAGCTGTGACTCAGTGAACATGTTTAAAAGAGGTGAAAACCTCTCCTAAAAACCTGTCTAATTATTTATGAGAAGAAAAACATTGCTATTTATAACCATACTGAGAAGTGTTCTGGGAAAAGTTATCTGTTTGAAGGGAATAAATTAGCTTGTTTTGTGCACTATTCTGTGTATGTACTCACCTACTTCCATCCCTAAACGGTATAATGAATGGCATCACTTTTTCCACCAGGGAAAATAATGAGAGACTTGTCATTGCTATTACGGGTCTTCAATAATCATGTCCAGCAATAAAATACTGATATACATTTCTTCTACTACACTATTACAGGTGCTTTTTATGGAGGAAATTACTAGCCACTTCTCATAGTAGTCCCTCATCTATTTCAACATTTAAATCAAGAAAGAGGCCTCACCTCTCAGTAGGAGAGATAGGTGCACAACTCTAACTATTTTCTGTGAGTACTGTGATGAATGAGAGAAAATTTACGAAAACTCATCTGTTTTCTGTCAGTATTTTAGTAAATATCACTTTTGGATGTTCTCACTGTAAATTTAAATACATTTAACTTAAAAAATCTAAGTATTTAAATCTTGGAACCAAAAATAAATACTCTTAATACACAATAAGCATCTTATCAGCCCGGAGGGAAGATTATTTTGGGTTTTTTTTTTTTAAGAACTTACGAGGTAGATGAAAATTCAGTGTTTATTTTTCTGTTATGTGATATATTTAAGATTTTTGTAAATAGTCTTTCATCCAAAGCATCACAAAACAATTGCCATTTCACATTTGCATGTAATATTATTGCAGTTCGCAATTAGACAAAAATCCCATCAATAGTCAGAATTCAAAACCTGAAGCAAGTCTTCCAAAAGTTTAACTCTTGATAAAAGTAATCCAAACCATCTGCTTTTAAATAACCAGCTACTTTATTATTATTTTTTTAACCTATTGAACGTTTGAGTTCTCTGGTTTGAAAAACTAGCAGTTGTAATTGAAAAATTTATTCTACTTTGCTTGCTTATCATACTATTCTATGATTCTCTGATCTGTATAAATAGCTTTGACCAAAAAAGTCATATGCACAGAATAGCAGAAACAAGTGTGTTCAAAGACCAGAACACATTACAAGCAAAGAAGCTCTAGTACAACTTTCAAGTGCAATCTCTCCTATTAGTTTTGAAACCAAAAATTCAAGAAGTATTTCAGATGGCTGATGGCAGTATTAGAAAGAAAAGTATTAGAAAGGATACCTGCTTTTCCTCATGAAACACATTGAATACGAGTTCCCTAACATAAGACAGGTAAGGAGTGCCAGAATCACAACGTGTTTCCTAAGTACTATCTACTGTTATCTTGATAGCATGTCAAAAGATAGTCATCACTGGTAAACCCTTCATAAGCCAACTACTTCATCGTTACAATTCTTCTTAGGAATGGGGGAAGTATTTCAAGATCTATCCTCCTAACTGCCAAACAACATGCATTCTGAGATCACTGTCAACACAGCACACTACAAATTCAATTTTCCAAAAACACAGACTACTTTAGACACTTTGAAGCACGGACAATTTGAGCAACATAAATCTAAAATTCCTATTTAATAAACACAGTCAATAGGATGCTTTAGAACCTCAAATAAAAGCTAGCCATTTAAGAAGAAACAGTGTTCGTGGAAGTGGAATCCCAGTTTCATCCTAGTGAACCACATGGCAATAGGGGAGATAAGGCATTCAAATTCAAAATTCACCAAAGTTGTTTTATCAGTAATATTAAATAAATGAATAATTTAAAAGAATCAGGCTCTCACTTCATATTTTCTCCTCATTAGCACAGCTATACATACCGCTATTTGACATCTGAAAAAGATTGTTCTTCTCAAACTTCTTGAAAACACTTCCTTTTATTTCAACGAACTGCAACGTTTAGAAACAGCCAGTTAGTTTTTATTGATAAAAAACTGATACAAACAAATCAGACAAATAACATGCAAACAGACATATGATACACAAAGATGAAGGATGCTGAAAAAAATAGAGTAGCTGTATAATACTTACATTATTGGACATCATGATGGTAAGCAGTGATTTATTGTGGGAGTTGAAGGCCACATTAAGGGTTGTTGCTTGAACCATTATAAGAATAGCATGCAGGACTAGACAGCAGGGTTAAGGAAGCATCTTTGGAAATATCTTACAGTACAACAGTACTAAACAGTACCAACCCTCAAATTTTCTATTTTGTTTCCAAAATTTAACAAAGAAGTTTCTATCTCCCTATCAACTAGATTTATAGCAAGACAGTACTTAAACCTCTATAACGTACCCACAGTGCTCTGTAGCATGTAGTAATTCTGCTAATTTTCTTGTTGTAAAAGAGCCTAACGACATTAGTCAGGAGAAACAGCAATACAACCTGAATGAAATAAAAATCTGAAATAAAGATTCAAAGTTAGCCTAAAGATTTCAGAGAAAACAAGAGAAAGTACAAGAATTTTGAATTCATCGCTACATCTATCAGAGTACATCTCTCTACTTCCATCAGTTCACTGTAAGGTTACTTCAGACTCATTTGCATCCTGAATATGCATGAGTTGAAATGCCCTTCATTGAAAGAAAATGTTTCAAGCTAGGTGTTTTAAACATTCCACTAAATAACAAAACCCCACTTTCTTCCAGACCCTGTGACCCAAAATACTCAAATACAAATCAGAAATGAAAATTTCCATGAGCTATCCCATTACAGGTTTTCATTTTACGATGCATTAGGTATTTAAAAAAGCTGTCTACTACTGCAGCAGTATACCATTATGAAGGTTTTTATTTAAGAGCAGGTTAAAAGGTTTCTGTCATTAATTTTGAAAACCTGTAGAACTGGCAATTTTACTCTGAAAGGAAGGGAACACTGATCGAGGGATACCACAAATTTCTCAAATATATTAACATAAAATAATGCAGAGCAATTACTGTGTAATTTAATTTAGAAAATTTTGCAATGTATTGAAGAAACAGGATACAGACATACAGCACTGCCATGAAGAAGTGAGGAATCACACCTATGTGAGCTCTTTTTCTTTCCTTAGGTTCTGTAGCTGTCCAATAAAGAGCATCCAAAATATCTTGTCCAAATGAAGAAAACAGACGATCAGCCACCTAAACAAGAAAAACTTTTTACTACCTTAAAGCAGTATTTTTCCTCTCCAACACTTGAATATGCCATCGTGAGTAAAACTCAACCTAAAAAGTTTCCCATATTTATCATCTTTCATCTCTTGCCCATTCCATTTCCACTTTTGGATTTGATACTGCTCCTTTTGTATACTCAGCAGCTTACTTTCCCTCTCAAATTTACTATCCCCTTTTCAACAGTATTTACAATACATAACCATGTACTGTTATCTTAGATGCTTCCTTGGAAGACATCCAAGTACAGTTCAAACATCAGCCTTTGATAAAGCAATATCTGTGTTGCCTCAAACTATATTAAATGGTTTTTTTCCATCCCTCTGGGTTTAATGGTGGGGGGAGAGAGGAGAGGGGAAGGAAAGAAAGTGAATTTCCAATGTGTCAGAGGGAACAACATCAGCTTATAGGTACAAAAAGGACTGAAATTACAGAAATAGTATTTAGTTCTATAGAAATTATTTCTATACAGAAATATATATATTCTATAGAAATAGATTTGCCTGTACTGTTTCCTTACATCTTGGAAAAAAGTATATACTCAACAGAAACCTCTGCATAAAGCAGAATTCAAAAAGTACTGTAACACAACACCAGGTGATCAAGAGGGACTAGAAATTCTGCTAAAAAGGGAAAATGAGTTTGAAAAAGAAAACCAAACCCTACAAACATCAGAAGTGTAACTCAAAAAAATACATGCACAAGTAGGAAAAAAACCCATAGCAGTGGTTCTAAAGATAGGAAAAACATGGAGAGCAATCTGAGCTTGTAATTCAATACCGCAGCAAGAAAGGTCAGATGGAGTTACATCAGTTCTCAACACTTCATTATCAGCAAGCATGTAGAACTGAAGATCGTTACAAGGAAGACTTTTTTCTGCCTACACACTACAGTTCACTAATTTTAAACCCAAGCTGCATCAGGTAACAAAATTGCACTTCAAAAATTAAATTTGGTGTCACAATACATGTCTGGCTAAAAAAAAACCAAACCAAAACAGGGTGTATCTTTCATTGCTTACTAACTCAACCAAATGGAAATAGTAGTGATTATCTCTACTTAATAAGGACAACTGATACTTCCTTTTAGCATCTTTCTGTAAGACAACAGTTTTGGACATGTTAAAAAACCACGCAGCACTATAGAAGGAGATGCACAATGTACCTGCAAATACTGAACCATACTATTAACTAGAAAATATGTTCTTGGGACACTGTAAGTAAACCTAGATTTGGGATAATTTCCTGACTTTGTTAATCATGAGTTCTAAACATAAAGATACTGAAGGGAGAGAAGTCGTACAGTTTAACTTATTCAAGCCAACATTCGTTGAAGTTTCATAAAATACGAAGGTTGAATTAAACCAAATTTTGACTGGATGTCTCAAGTAAACTGTACTATATGCTACACTTTAAGCATCACCTATGAAATAAAATTTAAAAAGCTCATGAATTATCATAAATCAGAACTTCAAAAACTCATCAGTTTGAGAGATATTTACAGTGGCAGTGTTTTCGGCTTTTAAGTTTTGTAAATTAAGGTGGTCTGCATTATTAGATTCCTGCTCATTGTGATGACCCATGGAGTAACTACACCTGGTGTGGTAGCACCCACCAACTACAGAATGCTTAGAGTTTGCTAAGTTTTTGTTCACAATATTGTGAGGGGTTTAACAGATAAAAATGGTGGCTTTGCTTTCTTTTTTATTTAATCAGTGATTTTTTTCTTAGCTGACAGGATAGAAAAATATTAAAACCCACCACACAATATTGCTGTCTGCTTTTCCAAATATGACTTACCTAAACCCTACATGCCGGCTCCAGGCTCCAGCAGAATTCCATGGTGAGTGCTGTCACCAGCGTAACGCACACTGGGGCTTCACAAGGAGCAGGAGCCGGTGGGTCTGAATCTAAAAAAGAAAAGTGTCATTTAAGCCAAAGGTGCTGAACGCTCCCCTGAGGCTGTCTGTATGGAGCATTCAGCACAGAATTTGAAGTTTTTGCACTCATTGTATCTGTCCAGGACAACACTTCCTGGACTTTCCAACAGCCGAAAACATTAGGACATTGTAAACATCTCTGCAGCTCAAGGAATGAAATAAATTAAAAAAACTTCCTATTTTAAAAATTTGTGAAAATTTAGTTTATTGCTTTTTTTTTAATTATTTTTTTTAAAAAAGCATATTTAACAGGTCCTTAAAAAACATCGCTTGCATTAGTAGTAAAGACTAACAACAAAATTCACTGAAGTAGTCTAAGCAAGGCAATATTAAAACTGTTGAAAGCTATCAACTAGTGGGATCCCATGACATGTTCTGCCAATACTGTGGCTGCAACCTACCCTGATAAAAAAAGTCTCTTAAAAAACATGCCCTCTGCCTGGCATGTTGGGCTTCATGAAACACCATGGAAATTAAATACCTTTTCCGACTTCAAGGTCTAATAAAATTTTTCTAATAACTTTGGTGGTAAGACTTCCCCCTTTCCTAAAAAACAAAACAATGTCTCCCCCTCAACCAACCACCAAAAAAACCGCCACAAACAAACCCCTCCCCCCCCCCAAAAAATCAATCCCCCTCTTATTTGAGACACACTTTTGGTTCTGCCAGATATTAGCAAAGAAATTAATCTCTTCATTCAAAATGGAATGGCACATGGCTTCCAAATCACAGCAAATGCTGCAGACTCTCCAATTATGTGGTAAGCACACAGTGCTGTACTTTCTAAGCTTTAAGAGGAGTGACTTGAAGGAGTCTTGAAATAAAGAGAAATTATTTTGAACACATTAATTTATCATAATCTCTCAAATTATGGAACCGTATCACAGAATGGTTAGGGTTAGAATGGACTTTTAAGATCATCTATTTCCAACCCCTATATATGGATGATTATATACACACAACTAAAATCCACGTGGTAACAAAGTGCCAAATGCCTAAAATCAAAGGAAACAAACCCTCATGAATAAACAACTGAAGTGGCTTTTATGATATTTATTTCACTTAGGATAATGAAATGTGTTCCTTATGCAATATTTTCATATTTTAAAGAACAAACGTCTTTAGACAAAATATTCAGATTTTGCACAAAATGTAGCCTTATTTTAGCAATCTTCAAACAAAGGTACGACAGATGTTTAAACAAGGATTAATGTTATTCAGAGATCCCAGAATCCTAGTAGAGTAACTCTTGTGTACAAAGCTCTGATTTAAGAGGTTGTACTCCTAACAGGTCCTATATTCACAGAATGGAGATAAGATCGTAGCTATGAAATCATTATTTACTTTGTGAATGACTGATCACAGCAGTGCAATTAGAACTTTCACACTCCATATTACTAATGAAACAAAAGATCCCTCCCCACCCTGGATTTCTCTTTATCTTACCTTCCAAACCAGAATTGCATTTTCTTGTTTCACTATATTCACTCAAGTTACTGTTTATGCACTCAGGTTTTTGTTTGCTAGCCCAGACTGAGACAGGTTAAGCAGTAACGTGTCTCTGCAAACAATGAAAGCTACACTTCCATTATAAAGAACTAAAACCCAAATTGTGTCTTCTACTATCTTCCTTCTCGCCTTTCTCTCAGGATTTACTACTATTTCAAACTAATAGTTCCTACTTTTCTCAATTTCAAAACCTCACTCACTCCACTTCTTGTGTTTCAGTTTAAGGCATTTCTTCTTTCATTTCCAGTTCAGTTTCCATTCAACTAAACCAATTAATAAGCTCCAGGAATTAGGCAATATGAAGCAGTATCTACAAAATTTATTTTTCATGGACTTGCCAGTTTCACTGAATCCAGGCTTACTACCATGGGTGTGCGCACATTTGTGAGTGTATGAGATTTCCATATTCTAAATACAAATACTGTAATACAACAATATTTTAGATAGTCTGAGAAAAAGCATGCTTGATATTCTGATGCCAACATTCTTACCTCCAGCATGTTATAGATGATGTAGAGCTTTATGACAGACTGTCCCCTTATCAGATGATACATCATAGAGTAGTCAACATAGTGCATCATGAAGTAGCAGATGACCAATATAACTCCTTTGAGAATGTCACATACCTGAGCAGGTTGTAGCAAACGTCTATCACTGAAATACAAAGCGCAAAAAGTTCCACTAAATGTCATATACTCACAAGATACAAAGTCAATAGGAATTTACACAAGATGTTAATCAAGGATATATTTTAAAGCAGTTTATTACTGCTCCTTCCACTGCTCCTGACTCCAATAGATGAGGAACACCATAACCACCACACATTTATAGATCACGCTCCCGAACAGGATCACATTGTCTGATCTCTCACATCCACTTGGTTAAAATACTGTATTTGTTGGGCAAGAACTCCTATTTCTAAAGAACGTTCTGCATGTATGCCCTGTGGTCTTTGATTTACCTTCCCTCTTCCTGCCAATTTTGCTTATCATTTTGAATTCATCAGTTATAGAAATTTTATTTGCTATAACCAAAAGAAAAAGAAATGAAGCAGTCATCTTCAATTTCACTATAATGAACTGGATGCTGAGGAACAGTTTCTAAATGCAATTCAGTATCTTCTTTTAGCTCTAAGCTCTGCAGCAATAAATGCAAACAATTTGACATTAGAGCTTGAGTATGATCTTGAACCAATCAATGCAGAAGTTTTCTATCTGTAATCCCACATGTAACCCAGAAGACTAAATGAGTCATTATACAATTTCATCCTATAAACTAAAGCTACAGGAAGAAAATAGCTTTACTTCAATTGCCACACTAGCACCCATAAACATAATGACATTGCAAGGCAGTGTTTACTTGTCTATTTACTTAGTTTAATATTACTAGGATGCAAAGCATTTAAAAGGTCTTCAAGTTAAATCACAAGGTTATTGAGAATTAAATGTAAAAAAAAAAAATAATGGAGAAGTATTTCTATTACACGTTTATTTTTAAAACACACTGAAAGGCTTTTACGGAAGCTATCATTTTACAAAAGTCAGAACCAATTAACAGCATGCAAGTTATGAATTTTCATTTGCTGTATTTTTAAATCACAAGGTTATCCAGAGATTAGACAATGCTCCCATAAACTGATAACACATTTAGAAAAAAAAAATTGAGTAAGTTGATAAAAATTCATGCTATTTTTAAAAAACATCCGAACTCTTACTTATGACCTCTGGGAGTCAAGACTTGTTACAGACCCGGCAGACAAGTCAAAAATCCCAGCTCCCTGACTCATTCTATTTAAGTACAACATCTGAGCTAGAGCATTATACTTCAGGTTTCTTTGTTGCCTTCCATTCAAAAGGAAGGAGCCCTGAAAACAGTATTCCTGTATTATAACACTCATGGACGACACCGTGTCATTCCACAATGAGCGAATCATGCTCATTTGAGGAGTGTGAGTGAGCTCATGCTCATTCTAGGAGTATGACTGAGTTTCCAGAGCTCCCAGATTTACCAAGAGCAACTGCTCCTTCTATTATATACTTTTTAAGGCATAATCTGTATTAAAATTAATTATATTCTGAATAACAGAATTCAACCTGTTCCAGCGCACCTGAACTGCTTAAGAGTGGCTTTCTCACCCTAAGAGACATTTTCTTACTCTCGGAAGTCAGTAACAGCAACCACACCAGATTTTGTTTCAGACTAAGTCCTTGACAAAAAGCCTCAGTGAATTTCCATCCCCCCAGTTGAGTTGTAGCTGAAAACACCAACTAAAAAACTATCCATTTTCTAGCACATCCCATGTTTGCCTCCTGCTTCAAGAACCTATGACTATGCCCTTGCATGACACACAGAAAAATGCCCTCTCCAACCTGCAAAATTAGGTCTTGAAAGGTTAGTGCCCTATTTATCTATACCTCACTTAAATCATTATACTTAAATATGTTAGCGTATATTGAAACACTTATAGGATTTAAGCAAGCCCACAATTATGATTACCAGTCATATGCTGAGTAACACAGCATGTTCCTTTTTCTCCAACCTACTTTAATTCTGGAAGTATACTCAGAGTCATTTCAGTGTATGTTCCCCAGCCCACATTCATACTGAGCAATAAAGATTGGGATAAAGTGGTAACAATAGTATTACTTCACAACAGTAATGACAGGTCTTAGCATTTGAAAAAGAGAATCAAAACTTGTTACTCAGAAGATTAGCATCTTCATTCTTCCAGCCAACACCTACCTTGTCATTAGAGAAGAAGTGAGTAGAGAAAACCTGACTAGCAACAGAGACACCCACTTCAAAAATCTGTTTTAGAAGTTTGGCAAGGTACCAATTTGTATGATGGGATGGTCTCTTGCTGAAATGCACTAGTAAGCAGAGTCTGTTTATGAAGTCTCTGAAGCAGTCCAGAAAGATTCACCCAGGAAAATGCTTTGATGTTATCATGTTAAAGATTTTCTGGCTCACAAGGAGCATCAAAGATGCTCGACCACCAGTACAGTCACAAGTCTCTGTTACTCTGTACTGTTAACCCTATCACTCTTGCTTGTATTAATTTTCATCAGTATGACTACACTCACTTTAGTAAAACCAACTCAGGAGAAGCTAATGTAAAAGCAGGTAACAACCACCACAGGGGAATACAAACTCTAAGAAAAGACCACAAAATCAAGAGCACAAACTGCTCTTGTAAAGGTGGTCTCAACTCTGAAAACTAATTCAAGAAAACAATGCCATATGAAGGTGCATCCAAACTTACACACAGCATCCTACACACTGGAAAGATGAAGATATTCTGAGAATCTACTGCTTACAGAACAAACTGAGTATCACTACAATTCAATTCAAAGGCTGCCCAAAAGGATCACATCAACTACACTTCACTACTGTGCCTTGCAGGAATTAAGATTTTGTAGAATAAGAGTACGTTCAAATGATGTTTTTCAAGAATTTTACCTCCAAAAGTGACTTGGATTTAGTTTTTTTGTAGTCTGTATATCTAGAAAAAACTGCAGCAAGCAGTATTTTTTACTTGGGACATTTTAACTAAAAATACGCTCTATTAATGTTCTATTCAGAGTTGTAAGGTAACTTCTTGTGCTTCTCATGTACATGAGAAGCAGAACCAACAGTAAAGCTGTGACAACTTCTTCAAAACACATCTTTAAAATAAGTCACAAAAATATCCTCACAGTTTCAATTTACTCAGCTCGATGACAGAAGAACTGTCAGTATCTCTAAACCCTAGTCACTATTAAGAGATTACTGCAAGCGCTGAGTACGTAAAACTGCTTTATAGAAAGTAGAAAGAATATCCTGGCACTTACAATATATTCCAGTACTCTTTCATTGTACACTAAAAAAGACCCCTTCATATTGACTAGCAAGTAATCCATGGTCTACAACTAACATATTTCCGATTGAGAGAGATTAACCATGACTACTGCATAAATCCATAAAAGCACTTTCACTGCAGCAGAATCCTTTTCCACTCTGGCTAATAACATTTACAAAAGGATTTTGGTGTGCCGTTGTGAGTATTAAATGGGACAGGAATAATTATTTCCTACAAAGACAAGGAAATCAAGTAAATGGATTAAGTCTAACGATTTGTCACCTTTTGGCAAATACACAGACTAACCACAAAGCCTGCAGTTATGAAATGATGTAGACAGTGTTCAGTGAGAACTAAACACTGCAGTTTTAGTATATGATTGGGCTCACATTGTTTCAATCCATATTCGTCACAAATCATTCCTATCTTAACTGTTTAATACCTATAAACACGTAGAGACTGATGTGATTTTAAGCCTGCCAAAAACTCTCAGCCCACTCATTACACACATCACATTTTCTTCATTCATTTCTTTCACTGTATGTTTCTACTTATTGTCTCCAATAACTACACAGTGCCAACACTGGAAAGTACTTTCAGAACAATCTTAAGCACCAAGTAATGAGACCTTGTGATTAATAACACATACAAATTCATAATGCTGTATTCATCAACACCATGCATGCTATAGAAAGTCAAAAAAAAGCTGGTATCAGCCAAGTTATGACAACTATACAAAGGTCAAGAAACAAACAAGAAAAATATAGCATAGTGCTGATACTACTTTCAGTATCTCATTTGAAATCAGGCAGCCAGGAGGTAAGAACTAGACAGTACTGAGCTCACAGTATGATACTGTACAACTCTAGAAACCACTGAACAGAGATAAGAGAAGTTGAAAAGCTTAGCTCATTTCAAAAGACTTTGTATTCTTATAGTTGTGCATGAAGTGTACCAAAATTTAGAGGGAAAGATTTCACATGAAAATTAGTTATGAGCGATTTTTTCTTACGAGCAAGAAAAGGAGAACAATAATGAACATAAATATCTTATTTTATATTTAATCATTCCAGTTACAAAAAAGCAAGCAGTAGAATCTTTCTATAGAAATCAGATGGTCTTTTCCTTCAAAGCTACCCCAGACATGCAGTGATGCTGCAGAAGTGAATTAAATATTAATACTTTCCCAGCTTTAGTGAACTCCACTCTTAGAAGATAGTATCACGAGAGCCTTTGTGGAACATGCAGTTTCTTGAATATCCTACCGGATTCCAAAAATAATGTTATGTGAATTGTTTCACAATTTGGCTGATTACATAGCTGAATAATAATTTAAATTACAACTTTCACATCTCAAACCAGTAAATATGCAGATTCAGGGTATATGGACTGTCCTTCAGATGGGCCTTATTAAGATACACAATTTCTGTCTTTTAATCTAATTATTTTCTGACATTATTCCATTATTACTTCTAACATTTTTACTACAAGTCATGCTCTCCAAAATGCTCTTTACAGCATCTGACAAGTGGTTTCATTATGCTAAGCCTCGGGTTCCCACGTTTAGCTGTACAGACTAGACTATCAAAGAATCAAATTTTTAAATTAAAGAGTAAGGCTTATCCATTCTATTATCCACTATATAAAATCTTGTATTGCTTCACTATTACTACCACTGAATACACCGAGCTGTTTAAACATGAGATGATCTTTCAATCTGTGTGAATTCAGAGTAAAAATCCAAGCATTCCTCTGCAGACAAACTCTCTTACACTGAAACACTAGCAAATTAAAACAACACAGAAAACACACAGCGGGACTTCAATATTCTACAGTGCACACTTAACAAGATGTTTAAACTCCTCAGCCTTTGGGTACCTTTACCATTACACCTACTAATGGATAGAAAATCTCCACGGAAAAAAACTGTCGTCTCCAGATAATATATATTTCACAAACGCATGCTTAAGTGGATATATGAGCTTATTAATCATTTTAACCTAAGTGATGTGCAAGCCTTACTATTACACTGCCCTATTCCACCACACCATGCTTCTGTTTCAGCCCAGCCAATTAACAGAAGGAGAAGCATGCCAAGCTCAATACTTATCACATGGCGTTTGAGGCAGTTGAAAGTGCAACTATGGCAGAATTTATACAGTACACTGACCGACATCAACCGAGAACTAGGACTTCAGAAATCCAGACTGTTATAGAAAAAAGTTATGTTTTTCAACACAACTCAAAAGCTCAAGGTTTAATACTCATGCTTCAAGCTTTCCAGTTCATGGTTTGCCCACCTTGAGACATATTTAGGAATTGTGAATCCAAGTTCTTCCTCTGTTTAGAAAACTACTGCATCTGTGTATATCCTCCTCCTTTGCTAAAAACAAGCCACTTCCCTTATGAACAGGTAGGAAGAATTACTTTGCTATTCTATAAAATTGAATTCAAATACCACCACATCAGAATATTACCAAATGTTCTGGGTATCCATAAATTTGTTCTACACATTTTAGGAACAAGTGGAAAAAAAAAAAAAAAAACAACCTAAAAAACGGAAATCTAAATTTTTTTAATGATTACTTGTGATATCTGTAAGAAAATCCACTGTTACAAAACTAAGTCAAACTGCTTTCAAGGTATACATAAAACTGCTACCCAGTGAAGAAAAATCTGGTGTGGAAAAAGAGTTTTCATCAAAAGCAACCTCCTTAGACAAACAAAAGTTCAAGGAACTAGTTCCTGACTGTCATTTTCAAGGTATTTTTCAAGGTAGATCATGACCTTTTGAGTATGTTATCATATTTCATAAAGTAATAAGAGTTCTGTCTCCATGTACTGATTGAAAAACATTAGGTTCAATCATTCGTAAGGGCTGTGACCATACAAATGCTCATACTACCAATATATAATGTTTGTGACAGTTTCAGCTGAAAAGCATGTTGGATTTCATAGTATCTCTAAGTTATTAAAGAAGCAAACAGCTCAAGGCTTTCAGTGTATTGGCATTTTGCACTGGCATCTACCCCAGTAATCCCTTTTTCATTCCACCAACTGTACAATTACAGTTACTTAGCATTAAGTAGAGCATTATTAAAAATAAATCATAGTTTATTGATATTTGGCTTTAAGATGTTACAAGTCACAAGTAGCTAATGAATAAGTTTGCTTAAGTGGCTGACTTCCGAAAAGAACAAGATTGGATGTTAAATGTTTTAATAAGCCTTTCTTATGGTTAAGCCATTTGGAACATAAAATGCATCTCAGGACAAACCGTAATTTGCTCTTCCTGTAGAGTAAAAAAAAAGGGTCTAAAAAAAATAAACCTCAAAACGTCTCAGGATAGCCATCTATGGTATGCTTTTCAGCAACTGTCACTGCAAAATGAACAATGTTTTAACTTGTATATTGTATACAAAGTAATCAGTAGACAAGTATACTTGTCTGAGTACTTCATTCCTGTGACAGCCGATGCATAAGCACTCTGCATATATTATTTTAAAACTTAACTCTGCACAGACTATCGTATGCTATCATACGGCTTCTTTACTTTTGTCTTCCAGGCGTTCTGGTCCCCTCAATTCTTCTCAACTAGTCTGATTACATATGGTATTCCAGTCACCTTGTTGTTTGGTTTTTGATGCCTTTTTTTTTGTTTTTTCCCAAACCAACAGGAATTCAACACATTTTTCTTGTTTAATTTTACAGTTTCCTGCATTTTCAATTGGCCCCTTTAGTCTCATCCAAATAATTCAGATTACCCTAAACAATTATTCCTTCATAGTTAGCACTAAATTTCCAATGCTGATCTCACAGATACAGTAATTTAAAGACACCAGTGCACTATTATTGCAATAATGCTTTAGAGAGGTATTTTAATCTTAAAATAACCAACTTAACCACCTGCATACGTATATATCTATAAACTCTTTAAGATAACAGTATTACTCCTATAAATGTTATTGTACTTCCACTATTAAAAACCCCCTTTCATTATATAGGTTTATTGTTCACCTGATAATTCACTGAAGTAGTGTTTAAGCACTGAGGCTACAAGCTTGTGCAAGAATTTTACAGCATGCCTTTTCTAACTGTATTATTTATTAACACTTTGAAATAGAGAAGCAACCACTGAGGTTTATATTAATTAACAATATATTTCAGTTATTGAAATGGTGGTCTAGTTAAAGTTTTGATAAGGTACCTTATTTCTCTATTTTTACATCACAGATACTTGTATGGCAACTGAACCATGATATTTTCGTTTACACGTAGATAGTTATATTTAGTCTTGATCAAAGTCTTAACCTTTCAATGTAGCCTTCATTAATGAACAGCTGTATTATAAATTTCTAATCTTACATGAAGCATTAACAATCACATTAACACATAAGGGAATATTTTCCTGTTAGCATAGTAAGTACAGGTGTCAGGGAAAATAAAACCCAAGCCAAGTTTGTCTGCAGGGCATACAACAAAAATTTTCAAAATGTGCAAAGTGATTTATTGGAAGTATTTTCCTACAAATATGGTCCAGTTTGAAATTAAGTTGGGCTTCCAGAATAAGCTTTTTGATCAAAGTAGCTTTATTTTGATCAACCCAATTCGATACTTTAAAAAGACATAACGATGTACAGTATGCAGGGCTCCACTGTTGTAAAACTGAGACATACACATTAAGTGACAATAAAAATATGTCCCAAATGAAGAATTCTAAGATATGAAGAGCTGAGTTTGCCAAGGTTTCAGGTGGCATTTCATTTCTCAGACAATAAAAAGCCTCTACATGCACACACCACAGCACGAGACCATGCTAAGAATGAAATGAAACCAACCTTGCTGTTACGCCCCGATGAAAGCTGTCTCAAAATAAATAAAACAAAATTGAGGTTTCAAATAAGTGACAAGTAAAACAAGCTTTCATTAAGCTTTTATTTTTTTCATAACAGAATCAACTATAACTGAAGTCAATAAATGAACATATGATAAGGTGCTGTATTTTATTATGCAGAGAATCAAGTCTAATATTCAGATACCTGACAATGAACTTGCAGAACTCCCCAAAATTTATGTAAGCATTACAAAAAAACCTGCTTGAAGAACACACAAAAATAGAGCTATGAAGCTGACTGAAGCATTACTTAGAATTAACTTAAAAAAAGCTTACGGCACTACAGCAGGGGCTATAGCTTTTCCAAGACATCATATTTCAAATTGTGCTGAACTGGTCTGCAGGCACTCCATGTAAAAAAATGTTTTAAATCTATTAAGATCACAACCTATTTCCACAGTGATGCAGTTCCATGTGAAAACATACCTATCATAAACAGCACTGAATGAATTTCAGTGTCGGTTACTAAAAGTAAGTGTTGGTTTCTCCTTTGAAATATGTTGGCTAATTTAGCTATACTATTCATTTGTAATCAGTCTTTTTACTGATTACATGAAGATGTGGAAATTTGGCTGACAGCACAGAAGGAAAAAGAAAATCAGGATTTACTCACCAAGGAGGAATCCCTGTGACACCACATTCCATCCTATAAAGGAAGTGAAAGTGCTCTTCCCTTCGGTCTGATTTACAAGAAAGAAAGAAAGAGAAGGTTGTAATGTTGCTACACTATGCACTGTTATGGAAAGGAGAAAGGAGTACTTGACCTGAGAGCTTACTACAGAAAATACTGAATGCACCTGCCCTCTTTTGCCTGGTTGAAAGACACATTTTGGTGGACAGATGCACTACTTTCTCCATGAACTTAACCAGATGATAGAAAGTTTATGTATTTTACAGCTAAAGCCTTCAGCACAAAGTAAGTGTGCAACAAAGGTTCAGATTTATTTAATAACCTGATAATATGAACAAAAAAATAATGTCCATAATAGAATGCCAGTATATTTGTTTTGGTTTGTCTGGGTTTTGTTTTGGGGGGTTGGGAGTAGGGTTTGATTGGTTTGTTTGTTTTACTCCCAATATGCTTTCTTCCTACAGTTTCTTCCTTGAGCTAATACTGTTTTATTTATTTCCTACTGAAAAGTGTAAATCTATGACTTCACAGCAGGGTGATGGGATTTTTAAGAGGTACATATAATACAACTGAAGTTAATGATGTTATTGCTGGCAGGACCTAAATCCACTTACTTCATGGAGAAGAGAGTGGAGTAGAAGAAAAACACATAACACTTTTATAGTCTGTATCTATTTCTACATGGGAAAAAATGTAAAGATCTTGTCAATGAATCTTCACATACATGAAAATTTATAATCTGCTTGTGTATTTTCTTAAGAAAACTAGAATTTGGAAGGGGAGAAAAGAAGTCTCACTTTCCGTAACAAGTCCTTACTTGCTCTGTGGAAAAGATGGAAAATGGTTTTAAGCATAATTAAATTGGGAGTCCCATCAGAGTTTCACTAACATACAATTTTAGTTTTCATAACAGGGTGTTTTTCAAATAACACAGAAGAGCTTTTCCACATTCCCACAAGAGCTTTTATTGGTGTGTAACATATTTCCAAGAAAAACAAGAAGTTAGCTCTATAAAAGTGTTTGCAAAGCAGCAGAGATATTAATCTGCACAGAATCTCTGGGTCTGAGGTATTTAATAAAAAAATGTGTCTGAATTGCAAAAGGAAACCCCACCTTTCCAACACAGGTAGGGTTAGTGTTAGGAACCTGTCATCAAGGACTGTAATTCTGAAGGGAACTCCATCAAGTCCACTTCTCTCTTTACCTTAGATTTGTTGTTCCAGCAAAGTATGTGCTTTTATGATGTCAAAGAATAGTTTAATAAAATGAGAGTAATTTAGATTTGAAAAGAATAATTCAAGAAACTTCATGACTTGGAATACATCACAGCTGGGTTGTTTTTTGGTTTTTTCCCTGTAATTTCAGAACAAGCCATTTAATTTTGTGAAGTGTTTGTTAATTCTTAAGAACACCCTCCTATTTACAGAGCATAGAAGTAATGAAGTTGCACCTGCCAAAACCACCACAATGTGATGATTCAGCTTCTGCCAGTTTGACCACAGAGATTTAACCAGCAGCTTAAGTTTACTTAATGACAGAATCTTGGATTCTTCTGAATGAAGTTTTTGAAGTTTTTAGCTATGTTAACACCAATATAGCTCTGACAAATACACTGAACCAAATTTACTCAAACGGAAAGATAAAGTGATGAGGAATGACAACTTTGCAGTCAAACTGAAGCACTTAGTAATACTGTCCAGGCAGAATAAGGAAACAAATTTCGTTAAGATACATTACTCTAAGTTCACTTTCAGAGCCCTGCAAAATGGAGTATTAAAACATGAGGAAGAGGTTATGAAGCACTCCCGCTACATTTAAGTACTGCACACAGTACCACAGACAGGAACTAGCCCATCTTACATAGAAAGTGGTTTTATTGTTTTAAAGAAATAATGGGTAATATAATATTTTTCTATACTGGAAAGAGCAGATAGTTATGAGGAAATAAACTAACTGAAGAGTAAACTGGAAGGGAGACAGAACACTCACTGCTCAATCACTTCACTGAGATGTTGAGAAAAAAGTCAAGATGAAGGGAGGAGCACTTTTATTTACTACACAGAATGGAATATGATGTGGCAGGTTCAAGTAACAACTAGTCATGTTTCTCAACATTTACTTCACGTTTGTGAGAAAGAGCAACCTAAAAGATAAACAGCCACCTGCTTTGTAAGTACCTTTTGTAATTACAGGTGTTTTACCTCTCGAAATCTATTTTGTTAGATAAAAATCTATTTCCTGAGTGAGAAGAAAATCCCAAAACTTTTTTGCCATAAGAAATCAAATCAGCATAACAACAAAAAACCTCAGCCCAAAATCAAAATGCAGGCTCTGAATATTTGGAAATAAGAATTACTACATTTGAAAAAGTTCCAGTTCGTACTATAAATATGAATTGTGAACCTTTGAGTAAAAGTCACTAATTTTAAAACATTAATGAATTAGACAAAGCCCCAAGTATTGAACAAGTAAAGAGATTCTAAGGAAATAAATTCTATAAAACTTTCAGGAGACTCTGACAAAGGAAATTGCTTCAGGAGTTGTTACATAAACAAAGCTTTCTTCACTCAAAATAATCTCAGTTTCACTGCATCTTACCTGATAACACTTTAAAGTTAACAAAGCCAAGTTGAATAGATTAAACTGGATTCTATCCTGCATCATGCACTAAAAATATTGTCAAGCAAGCAGACTAAGTTTTAACATTGCAGATGCATGTACATGTAGATATACATGTATACACGTGTGAGTGTATATGGTATGTTCAAAGTCACTTTCTTCGGTATATCCAACAATACCCCAAACCAGAAACTGGTCCTTCAAATTTTTAATTGTAATTTCAGAAGAGCAGAAAACTGGTCAAAAAGCAAAGCTGAGTTTATGAACAAGGAAGAACACTTTTTAAACAGGAAAAAATAGTAAGATCCAAGCGATTTCTTAAAATCCATTATATTTGCCTGAATTTTATTATTTTAGCAATAGTATCCTTACACATATTAACAAAGAGGCACATAATGTGACCTGTCATGAGGCTAAAACTAAATATCTGACATTTTTTATACAGCTACGAAAACTCTCAACATAATGAGATACTGAGATTCAGCGCTAAGTTAACAGCACAATAAAATATTACACTGCCACCTAGTGCCTATGTGAAAGCATCACCGAAGTACAAACATTTCCAATTAAAACTAGGCTTTAAAATATTATTTCTTCCACAACTAGATTAGCATTTGCTCTAATCAGAACCTACATTCTAAACTATGCATCTAAAAGTGCTTCACATATAAAAACTATTAATAATGCAAATCTGAGCAACTACCAAAAAAATTAACTGGCTACCATAATATCAACTTCAAGTTTGGAGTGACCCAAAATGAATACCCCTATTTATTCAAGGAAAAGTTACAACATTGATACAAATAATCCCTTTCTTTCAGGCCACGCTTAAGTCTTTCATAACCAGCTTAACCATGAAGTTCCAACTTTCAGAACAGAAATTAGTTCCATCCAATTTTTGATTCCTACACCAGAAAGGCAAACCAAAAATCCTATGAATTAGCAACAACTTCATATTGAGCTGAACAAAAAAGCAAGGCATTAAGATCTAAAATATCTTAATATTATTCTAATTAGTTAGTTCCATCCAATTACTCTCCAAGATTCTTTGAAGGAAAGAAAATAACACATTTTATTCAGGGATTCTTTGGGCAAAGTTTACCACGCAAACAAGGAAAACCGTTGTTAAAAAAAAAAAAAAAAAAAAAAAGCCAAACTTTTGTTTCAATACCTTAGAGCCTATCAAAAGACATGAGCCAAGTCATTAGCGCCAATCTAAGAAACCTTGAAACTGTTCAAATACATGTTGGTTAAAAGAACAAAACTATAGCGTAAGGTTACATCTCTGTCCTTTACTAACCTGAATATGCCTAAGTGGTGCTGTTATCAAACTGTTGTCTGAAGAAAACAACGATGACAGTTAGTGACTGGTGGCAAAGCTTAGAGATCCCACACAGAAACACCTTTGTTTTGGCTAGTTTAGACCAAAACTTGTTTTACAGTGGAAGAAGTCATTAGTAGTTCAAACAGCACTGAAAGGCTATAAAATTAAATACACACATAAATAAACATTATTTAAGGGTATCAACACCTTTCTCTTAAATCAACTTACCGTAAGCCATAGCAAGGCAAAGTGATGAACCGGAACATTGCCAGAAAAACTCTCAAAGGAAGCAGGGTGAATACATACAGAAAAGCATCCAGGCACAAAAAGATTCCAAAAAACATCAACTAAATTACAAAAATAAAACAAAAATATGTTAGTGGATTATAAAGAATTGTATGACTTTATGAAAAGTACATTTACATAAGACTAGTTAACCAAATAAGCACAAAACTATCGCTTGTTCAACCTGCTGAGCTGTAAAACAAATAACATGCTATGCGCTTGGAAGACTTCAGCAAAACTTGTGCACCACAACATCCAAGCAGCAGAGGCTTTTGCAGACCTCCATGGCTCACTGAACTCAGTCTTTACTGGATAGATGAATTACATGTGAATATAACTGTAGTTCATTTTGCAATGGTGACCTTCCTCTAAGGTTAAAGAAGTTAACGTTTTTAACCTTTGGGGTTGTGGTGTGTGTCAAGTAGAGCTGTGTTGCACACGTGCACAGCCATTTGCTGCCGACCTCCTTTTTAATATGCTTTTTTCTTTTTCTTACCTTGTTAATTCTCTATTGCACAGCTAATTACCAGATGTGGTATTTCTCCTTTCGAGAATATCCACCTTTTTCATACAAAGAATATAAAATACAAAGATGCAAACTTCCAGTTGCCCTCAGTTTAAATGCTTTCTCCTTAATTTACAGAGACAGTTAAAGCCATTTCATTATAGCCATGAGCCAAGCAATTCCATGATAATTAAAATAGACCTAAATTCTGCCATTAGAAATCTCTTAATTAAGAAAGCTCTTGTATACTGCTCTCCCCATGTGACCTTCCTTCTTCAGCTGCTTTTTGAGTTTATCTAAGATCTACCTGAATGAGACTCTAGGCACAGGCTTTTACACTTCTGTCAGACCAGAAGCTACTGTTTTTTCCTGCAAGAAAAACCACTGGCTACACAATTAAGACTAGCAACTTCTGAGCAGGCCTGTATGTCCACGACAGATATGCATTTAAAGTTTTATGTATTGCTAATGGGAAAGACAGACATTGGTGTGGGGTGTGGGAGGAGAGCAAACCAAAGGACAAGTAAATTACTTTTAACTCCCACAACCTGTTTGCTTTCAAAATACCTTCTTTGTCAGCTTGAGCAACAGCCAGTTCAATGTCCAATGAGCTAGTATCACCTATATGTACCTTTCTGTCACTCATGCATACTTCTAACTTTGAAAGCAATCCTACAGAATACACTTCAGTACATCTATCTGCAAGCCACTGATGACTGACTCAGGCCTAAGAGCACTGTTATCATTTCTGAACTGCTGCCTTCCCTTCTAATATTATTTCTACCCATTCTGCAGTCTGTACTTCAGTACCACCACGACGTTAAGGTCTTCTCCCTGATACTAACTCCTTCACCTCTAGTACTGTTTCCTAAGATTTCAGCAGAGACTTATCAATCAAAGTTACCAGGAGTGGTGGTTACAAATAATAGATGAATTCATTCATTGCATTTTAATATGCCACTAGGTTACCCATTTCTTTGCTAACTTTTAAACCAAGCGCTGAATATCCAGCCACTGAGGATGACTGGAGCTGAACATGTATCTTCCTTTTTTTAACTCCTTAACCCAAGCAAAATAGAAAGATAGCCTGTCATTTTGCCTCTGTGTTCTTTGAGGGCATCTTTGTAATCTAGAAAACAACTCTGCATTTTCTTTTTGATGTAAACAGACTTTTTCTCTCTGCCTGGGGCAATTACAGGTTCTCGCATTCTATAATCTTGCATTCATATCTGCAATTGTTTAATGTCCCCATTTTCCTAATTTTTCACTACACTGCACTTACACACACCTGCTGAAATATAATCAGCACTGAAGCTTACCCTCATTTCGGTAAATGTTATTTTTGCTGTCATATTCCAGATACTCAGGAGCTAACAGAAAAGCTTAATGAGCTTTCCCACCATCATAACTCAAAGCAAAAAAGCTCAAAGTTTAATTTTGAGATCAACTGACAAGTTTTCCCCTGAGACAGCATAATAGGGACCACCTTTCACTTACCATAAATAACCTATTACTATGAAGAACTTCCACTGAAACTGCACAAAAAGCTTGAGGGGAAGTAGCATTTATATTACAAATTATCTAGTTTGTCTTAATAAAAAAGTATTCAGAACAACAACAAAATATTACCCTTTTAACATCACACCCCACTCTAAAATTATGTACATGTAACAAGTTTATGTTAAAGAATATCTCTCAATAGGCTCTGACAAATTTACTCCAGTTTATTCTTACTCTATCCAATTACTATTTTCATTCCTAGTATGTAATTATACTAGTGGGTAGTAAATAATACAAACGATTAAGAAAATTCTCCTCTTCCTTTCCTAGTGACTCACTTTATTTCAATTAAGCAGTTTTGATTGTCACAGAGGCAAGTGATGATCCGTACACTATTCGGTTTGCTTTCTAGATGCTCATCATCATACTTTTTCAACAAATATGATTCAATTTGCTATAACTAGTGTGTATATTAACCTGGACTAAGCCCGTGCAAAGAAGTAATAAATTAATAACCTATGCTGATTATCATTCAGAATAATTCCTGTGACTTGGAGAGGGCATGTAGTAGTATACATAATTACAGTGGAGATGATGGAAAACTGCTATAATGTTCAACTGAGACTAGAACATAACAGGAATATTCTACCATTAAGAGTAAAGTTCACAGTGGGACTGTGAAGACAACATCCTTGGAGACACCCAACTGGATCTGGTCCTGAGCAAGCTGTTGTAGGTGATATAGTTTTAAGTAAGGGCTTGCACTACATCATTTCCAGAGGTCCATCCCAATCTCATTCATTCTGTGATTTTCTGCAGTAACTGACAGGGAATTTAGTTTTGTGAGAAAAGGTCTCATCACAGACCAAGGATGAATTTAATGATACTGAAGGAGAAACCTGAGGGCTGCTGACAAAAGGAATCCTACTGTCCCTCCATCCACCACCGCTCTTTCATCTTTCTACCCCTAGCCCAAGCTACACAGCTCCCCTTCCACCCTTGTGTAGGCTCTGGATTCTCAAGAATACTAGCCAAGCAATTCAGCTCACTATCCTAGTGAAGAACAAAAAGAGCAATAAAAGCGAAGCACTCACTGTCAAATTATGACCTGATTTAACTCTTAGAATGGTCCAACAAAGCACCACAGCTCATGCAAAACAGGCAGCACGCATAAGGCAGGAGACCAAAGTGAGAGGAAGAGTGACGCAGACTCTTCCTTCAATGTAAGTTAGAGTTAAATTGATTTAGCCCTAGTATGTAACTTCCTCCCTAGAGGTTTTGAGAATTTTAGCAATATTACTTTTAATGTTATCGTTACACTGCAGCCTAGCCAAACCTTATCACAATGCTGCTTTACTCATCATCCTTGAGCATATTCCTCTGCCTCCCAAATCAAAAAGGTTAAGACAGTATAAAACTCTCTTCTACATTACAGCAGTGGCATTAGCTCTCTGCATGGACAGAATTAAATCTAAACTGACATAAAGGAAGTGGCAGTAATGCTTCAGGAAGTGCTGTAGCACTGGGACAAAGAGGAAAGATGTGGTAAACAGTTGCAAGAAGCAAAATAGAAAGCTATGAAAGTTAAGTCAAAAACATTAGACAGAAACTGACCTATCACCATATTTTAAAGGACTGAAATCTTCCCACCATCAAATAAATCTTTAAAACAATTATTTTTTATTTTTACAAATGTAAAATCACATTTTGCTGTGAAAAGTTTTATTTTGCTTGAATATTCCTTTAAGGATCAGTGACATCTTTGTATTCGAATTAATTTGTAATCATCGGGACTTCAAAGTTAGCCATGTCTGTCTTTGCTAATAACAGTAGCAACAAGCAAACAGGCAAAAAAACCTGAAACATAAATGCTGAAGTTACTAACACCAAAAATTAACCATTACAGATGTTTAACTTTCTTAGCAGCAAGTGTTTGAAAAATAAATATTTCTTTAAATAATGTAATGTATCAGATTTCATCTCTAAAACAAATCTTACAATATACTTCACCTTTTCCAGTTCTTTTGGTATCCTCATGCACGTGTACACTCTCTCTCTCCGCTCTGTGTATTTTGCTTCATTGTGTTCAAGGAAGTAGCCTCTTGTTAGCTCAGCACTGATGAACCTCAGCAACGAGAGATCTACATTCAGGAGCACATAAGCAGAAGACACTTCAGGCATGACCTCCAAAAAGTGAGAAGACCACTATGTTTTTTTCACTTGCTATGTATTTCACTTATATTGTATCTAATCCCAAAAGTTTCTGCTGATCATAATCAGAACATCAAGTAACTTGGTACAGAAGGAGCTGTAAGAGAAGCAAGTCCTATGCTCTCCCATTCCCCCATTGCCCCAGGGGAACAACCAAAACAAATACTTTTCCCAGCCGATCATTTTCATCCCACTTCTCCAAAACATTACTCAAAGCAGCTACACTGGATGCAGCATGTTGAGCGGACCTAATCCTTAATGTACCAACAGTCCTCCTAAATTTACTAAGTTCTATTTTAGACTTCTTAAAACCTATTTTCTCTCCCAGCAATGCTAGCAACTTGTTCTTTATTTTAAAGAACAACTTTTTGTAAGAGCAAAACATTCACGGATACATGACTCCAAGTGATTCAGTGCACAAACAGTACAAGCATGCTGATCATGTCATGATCAGACCAAAGCCTTTCAAGACCAAAAAGCCATCAAGCACATACAGGTCTTCTACATTTTAACAGAGATAGGTAAATAAACCAAAGGCTGACTGACCTATGCTTAGTCAACTCGTATGGCTTCTAAAATAGACTTTGTGCAGAGTATTCTTCAAAAGGAAATAAAATACAAAAATTGTAATTATGAAAATTCAGGCTGTCAGGACAAGGATGTTAAGTTTAACTGACAAGGTCTGACATAACCACCTTCTGGTAACACTTTAGAAGCAACAGAACACTACATTAAAATTCAACATTTCTGGTAACTATTGCCATTTAAAAACAGAAACTCTCAGTGTTCACACAAGGTGCAAAAGATGGAAACCACCTATTGAGACAGACAGATGAAACTCCACACATCATTTACCATGACACAAGAACACACTCACAAATGGTAAATTCAGATTTCAGGCAAAGACTAAGTGACTACTGGGCAGGGGGGTGGACTTTGCATGGTACAATGCTCCCCATTTTTGCAGAGGAGGAGGAGGTTCCATAACACACCCTCAGTAAAACAGACTAGATAACAGCTGTTAAGAGAGGAATACTTGCTGCAAGTATACACACTACGTGTAAAGACTTCACCCAAAACTGATAGTGGCTTCTCAATATTCATCACATCGAAGATGATGAAGAACATTAGCTGGAAGAGTAGCCAGAAAATTACAAATCATTTTAAAGCAAAGAAGCAACCAGCTCAAACACAAACATAAAAGAAGCAGAGCAAGGAGGGTGCGCTTATAACCTACACTGATTGGGGCGGGGGGGGACACACACGTGTATTGCATATGATTAGGATTTGGGGGGGATGACAAACGGGCATTTTGAAGTCTGTGATGGTGTATTAACATCCTGTGTATGTCTAATATTGTGATTTATCATGTTGTTGATACTGATCACAGCTATATAATTCACTAACTGTTGGCTCATTATGTATTAATAAATAATTTAAATCAGTATTTGCTTTAAACTACACGAACTGAATGGTTTTTCCCTGTATGAGCTTGTTTTCATAGTGATTTTAATGAGATTTATATATATACTGCTGATCCACTTCCAGTGAGCAGGCCAAAAGCACTGTAACCCTTAAAGGTATTTACTTTAAAACAAACGAAAACAACACGTAGCTTAATGAGTAGTAAAAACCTAATATTTACAGGTAAAATTTCAATCAAAGTTCATTCCAGTGAAACAAGGCAGAAGTTCATTCTACTAAATCATTGCTCAGATGTCTTACAAACTTGTTTTCTGAAGTCTTCCTTTTTAATACTATCACTTGCAACTTTTTGGGATTTTACTTTTTGTTCCCCTCCCTTCTTTCCTTTTTAAGGCACGAGACAACCTTAGATATAAACTCAACCAGATATAACTTAGATATAAACCTACCACCAGTTAGCTACTCTGTTAACTGCCCAGGTATATTTTCTTCCACCTCAGGTAACGAACCTTCTCTAACTTAAAGATAATGCATCTCAAACAACTGAAGTTTCCTGCAAAATAAATATGGCATATACACCACAGAGTAACTTAGTGGACCTGCACGGCTCCCCTCCAACTTGAGATATTCTAACCAGTGAGCTATTTCCACCTCCTTACCCCGTTCATTGGTCTATCGAAAAGCACATGAAATTAGGTTTCCTCCACCTCGTTAGACTTTCATGCCCTTGAAATTAAGAAACGATGACTCCTCATGACTGAGGCTGAGCAGTACACAAGCTCCAGACTGTTATTACAAAACAGTCTCTCCAGTGACAGGGGATTCACTGAAGTACAGAGTTGCCCAGCCACCTCCTTTCTGAGCACTTACTACCACCCAGCATCAGCCCTAGCTCTGTGTCAGCTGTGAAACAGATCAGTGGCTGACCCTGCAGAAGAAACACAGTAAGCAGAAGAACAGCATGAAACGCCAAGGTAGGACAGAGTAATAAACCATCTGAAAAAGTTTAATTCTGCTATCAAAGCATCATTTTCTTTTAAAAGTAAGTAAACACTTGAATTCCTACTTCTAATTCCTTCCCTACTTCTACTTTCCCTCTTTCCCAGTCATGAAGTTTCAGATTGTGTTTAAACCTTAGGTTTAAACTGTTCAGACAGCACACTCTTAATGCTTACTCTCATTTATCTCCCCACCTCAGGAAAGAAAAGCACAAGTATCTTCAAAACATAAAAGACCACTAGCTCCTTCAAAGTAAGAAGATAATGATTTACCTAAGTTATACTTCAATGCATAGCTACACCAAGGATAACCATTAACCACAAATGGAAAGGAAAATTTGTGCAAGTGTGAAAAGTATCATGCCTTGGTAAGTCTTTGTTGCTGTACAATCGTAACTTTAATCCTAAATGCAACGATTCCAGGCACTCACTTCACTCCCCTTAATCCTAAAAACACACTTCTATTATAAAGACTCAACTAAATCAATCAAGACTAAACCAGCACAAGGGGGGGGGAGGTTTATGAATATTTCCTCCTCCTCTAAACAACTTCTCTCTACAGAACTGGTCCTGCTTTGCCATTGTGAAAAATCCCTACTTCTATTGTGTAACACATTGCTATCATTAGATGAGTTAGAATTTTTAGCTGCTCTATCAAGAAACCTGTTCTTCTAATGTTTTCTTGCCCTGAAGAGCCAGAGAGCACCAAGGATTTTTAACTAAGTTTACAATCAATTATTTGAATATAGTTAGGAATTCTTGTGCACACACTCAAGTCACAATTTCCATGCTTTTTACTAAGCTATTTGTACATCTTTCAGGGACATTAATACTTATCTTGACCACCCCTTTTTTCTCCCACTAAAAAGCAGTTCATAACAATCAAGCCAAATCCTTACAACTATGGAAATGACATCAGTTTGATCAACATCCCAGAACTGCGGTCAATGATGCTGCATTTCCTATGACATAACACATGTCAGAAAGGGACACAGCACCTGTCAAACTTAGAAGGAAAGCTTTCAATTGGTGGCAGATTATTCAAGTTAAATCCTAATTCCTACTTTTTCTTTTCTGTATTTGGTTAGACCTGTGGGATCACCTTCAAACCAACACTGCGGCAGAAAGCCTGGACATTTGAGCACCACTTTCAGCACTTCCCAGATTTTCAGCAAGCCGCTCATTTAAGAAAATGGTGCTAATAAAGTTATTT